GCTTACGCTACTCACCTCTCTAGCTTCAACAGCACAAAGTCTGCTTCGACTATCAAGGCACCCCGGAAATAGTGGGTCACAAGAGTGTGACAAACTTACAAAAGAAGTAGAGGGAAATTGACGATAGTAAGGATTACGAAAAAAAAGCAGCAGTTCCCTGTTTCAGTTTAGGCACAGTTATGAGCATGACATTGATGAATCAGCCCATTTACAGTTACAATTCTACTGTGCATAAGAACTCGAGATGTTAATGTCCCCCCCTTTGGGAATGGCCTAAAGACACGTCAGTCAGTCGCACCGCCCCGGGGGGTAAAATATAACATAACCCCTAAACATTTGTACAACTGTAAACAAGCACAGCTCAATCCCAAAACAGTCAAAACGGCAGAGAACATATACGACTTAATCCCTCGACAGTAAAAAGGAAATGAATAAATACAACTCAGTTTTGATGACAATGACAATCTTTATTCATCTCGCAGGGAGAAATCTAGGACCAAATGATACCATTACTCACCAACATGACTAAAAGACACCATTACTCATCAACAAGGGTGCGGTGGCGGAGCGGCTAGTGGGCTTGTCTCCGAAGAAGAAAATGCGGGTTCGAGCCTCTGTTCGGACACAAATTTTTTTCACCCCCTCCCACCTGCCCACCCACCAGTAACGGTTACCTGACTTCGAGTTGGGGAAGTAAAGGCGGCGTGGAGAGGAACTGGCCACCCTACCACAATATGGCGAAGGCCCAGGAAGTTGTCTCACTAACAAAGCAATCCCAAATGTCCAGATTGGATGCGGGTACAACTTTACTTTACTTTACTCACCAACAGACGGCGCGACGTCCAAGTTTCGAGAGGTGACAAGCTTGAGCAGCTGTAGTTGTGCCAGGAAGGGCCCCCTCAACAGGACGGCGGGCTCCATACCGGCGATCTTCCCCTCCACAAACTCTCGCATCAGATCCACCGTGTGGTCCGCTCGCTGGCCGCCTTCGCTCGTGTCCTGGTCCGGCTCGAAGCCACTGTCCACCATTTCAAAGCCCGCGTCCAGGTACTTGAGCCAGAAGTGCCAGTCGTCGGGCCTGAGGGGGAGAAATAGAAAGAAGGTGGTTAGAGAGATGGAGATGGAGAGAGAGAGATGGAGATGGAGAGAGAAAGAGAGAGGGGAGGGGGGCAGGGGATAGGGCGGGAGAGAGAGAAAGGGAGAGATGGAGAGAGAGAGAGAGAGATAGAGAGAGAGAGAGAGAGAGAGAGAGAGAGAGAGAGAGAGAGAGAGAGAGAGAGAGAGAGAGAGAAAGCCCTATCATCTAATGCAAATTAATTTAGGATTCCTATAGTTGATGAAGAAAAACAAGAGATATCTGCAAACTGCACTCGATGAGTACTCGAATTATGCGGAATCGGGCAACATGACAAATTCCAGTCCTCCCACAAGGAGAAGCAGAGACCTGGGTCAAGATTTACGATCCTCCGAGTAGGGCTCGACAGCGAGTTTCGAGCAATGGCGATCATGCTTACCAGAAAATTGAAAGATGCGTATTTCATCGTTTTGACGTGTATTATTTGTGTATTGCTGACAGTTGTGCGTACTAGAATACGCAATTGCTTACAGGTTGGCAAGTCTCCCGCGAACTATAGCGCCAGAACTCGTGTGTGGGGACATTTCAGTAACCCACTTTCAGCACTTTTCGAGGACCCCCGAGCGACTGTCAGGGACACCACTAAACCTTTTTTTGAAATAGCTGAAAATCCTCGGGCCACCGTCTTGCTAACATATGAATATCAATTTGAAACCCAAAGGGTGTTTTTCATTTTCAACTATACAGATCAAAATACCGGAAATACCGGAAAAAAAATTGGAAGATGCCTGGACTGTCGAGTCCCTGCGAGCTGTCGGAATCGCTGAGTGTTTATGACGCCACAGTGCCAGAAGAGAGAGAGAGAGAGAGAGAGAGAGAGAGAGAGAGAGAGAGAGAGAGAGAGAGAGAGAGAGTGGGAGGGAGGGAGGGAGGGAGGGAGGGAGAGAGAGAGAGAGAGAGAGAGAGAGAGAGAGAGAGAGAGAGAGAGAGAGAGAGAGAGAGAGAGAGAGAGAGAGAGAGAGAGAGAGAGAGAGAGAGAGAGAGGAGAGGGGTTGGCAAGTCTCTGCACCAATGGTTCGAGCCAACTCGACCGACTCCACTATGAGACGAAAAAACGTCTACTCACGTGACATCCAGGAGCTGTTTGTAGATGCTGTTGACCGTGTCCCACTTGAGCAGCTTGGTGCACACGGCGGCCAGGCGCGTCTCGCGCAGGTTGAGTTCGTTGCCAAGTTGTCCTGTTGGGGGAATAACACACACATAGACACACAACAGTGACAGCTGGTGAGCTCAATGCTGAGCTGTGCTATCAGAGATAACACATTCAGCCATAAAATTGTTATTTATATTTTTAAAAATTTTTTAAGAAAAAGGAAATATGAAAAGTTCTAGGTGCGCCACATTTTCAGAGGTGTCATCAAAATTGACAGCACAAATGCTTTGCCAGTGTGTAGTGTGTTTGTGCGTGTGTGTGTGTGTGTGTGCGTGTATAGTGTGTGTGTGTAGAGTGTGTGTGTGTATGTGTGTGTGTAGTTTGTGTGTGTAGTTTGTGTGTATGTGTGTGTAAGCTCACAAGCAGGTGTGTGTCTCAATATACCAGCATATTGTAAGCCAGTTTTGTCTGTATACCTACATGCTACACGCCCGACAGTTGTCAAAATCCAAAAGGTCGAAAATGCCCAGATTATTGTTGCATAAGCATTATCCATCTTCAACTGAACATAAATTTGACTTGCTATACATACAGTGAAAATCTACATACAACACATTACACAGCACACATTTGCCCCTTGCAAACCCCACCTCAGCACCTGCCAACCACCCACTGATTATGTGTACAGAGTATATCAGGTCGCTTTTAAGGACAAGGGGGCTAATTTGAGAAAATCGAAACTTTTTGGATCCTTATTCAAGTTCTTTAAAAAACAAGGAGAGTTTTTCTCTAAAACCAAACAAACATACACACCAAGGAAACCAAACTTCTCCTATAGGCAGGGCAATGCCCACTTTTGGTGTAAGTCAAGATTTCTAGAACCCCCCAAAATCTGGGTCAGCCCACTTGTCCTTAAAAGTGACCAATTTATCATTATCATAAATGCCTTTCACCCCTGGCAGAGTATAGGCCACATGAAAGCTCCTTCCATTTATCTCTGTCTTGAGCCATCCTTCCAAGCTCATTCCAAGCGAGCTCCATCTCTCTCATGTCCCTTTCCCCGCATCTCCTCCATGTTTCCCGTGGCCTACCCCTGCCTCATGCTCCTTGTGGGTTCCACTGCAGTGACTGTCTTGTGAGGTTTCTGCTGGGCTTTCTTAACCTCTACTTTTTTTTTCTTTTTCCTGGTATATTCTTTACATTGTATTTTATTTAAGGTGTGCCACCAATCTAAGCATGTGTTAAAAAATGAACACCTGTCTTACCTCCCATGGGACCTTCCAGAACTGCCAGCGCTTCCTCCCACTTTTCTTCCAGTTCCAGAATGATGAGGTACAACAAGATCTCTGAGGACCAGATATATATAACAACTGTAACAAAATCACTAAGATCCTGATACCATCAGGCAGAGGTATGTCTTTAGTTTTAGTTTTAGTAAGAGTTTTACGGCACTTGTAACACAATAAGGTCATATGAGTGCCAAAAGATTAGAGGTGTTACAAGAGAGTAACAAACACAAAAAAGAAGAGGGGGAGATTTAATAAGGACGATAGATGTTGGATAGTAAAGAAAGAGCAAACCATACCAGAGGGGTGTCTGTCAGAAAACCACATGCCATAAATGTTATGTCACACACCAACATGCTTAACATTGTCGCTCTGCCCTTCTAATAAACTTTCACCTAAAAATAGCAACTTTTCGGCATTTTAGAGACAACATTTTCGCAGCTTTAACTATTCCACACAAAAAAAGTGTTGGGTGTTGAGAGGGAATTTTCTTTTATCAAGACCCAAGTGTGTCCTATGGGATGCTAACCTTAGTCTACAAAAATATATTTCAATTTCACACATACATCTGTTTTTTGTGGAGGTTTTTTGTAAGCGTTTTACGGCGCTCGCAACTGCATATGGCCATATGAGAACGCAGGACACATTAAACATACATCTGCCCTATGGATCCTCTGTCATTAACTTGAGTACACTTTAAAGATATGAGACTACACATCAAGGACATGAAAATACCCACATGAAACATGAACACACTATACGTCAAGATCACGAAAATACACACATGGAACACACCATCACAACACACACCAAGGGCAAGAAAATGCACACACATAAATCATCGAACACACCACACACCAAGGTCATGAAACCACTACTACAAACACACACACGAGGTGAAGTGTAAAACGCATAGATCTGCACACGCCTAGGCCTCACCTGCTTCTGCCTCAATCTTTTCTTCCTTGATGTACTTCTGCGTCATCTTTTCTGCCAGAGGGAGGTACATGCTGAGTCCAAGCGCA